TCAGGTATCAAAAATAGGAAATTGTGTTACTTAATTTTTACGCCTCAGTAAAAAAAAAATCTGGATTAACATTTTAAACGTTGTGTTTATATGACTCAACATCCATTTGTTTATTTCAGTCACATCTATTTTACCTGAATTGAAAGGGTGTCACGAAGTGTGGTAGGTTGACAAAAATACACGCAATTGGTACAACTCTGTGTCGCAGTATTAAAAGTTGGATAGTAGTTGTGCTCTTGAACTAAGGAATTATTTACAGTGCTTAAAATCACTAAGAAGGCACCTCGCTGCCATATAGCGTGATATAGTTTACGAAATAAGTTGAACAATATTTATGATGACGACACAACTAAGCTAAAAGGAATAATATTTTCAAAATGTCAGGAAAGTCATAGGGCGAGCCCTTTCAGTCTAACTTTTATAGAAACATTGAGCGGCAATCCCAACTCCCGCTTTCCTAAACACTCAGCAATGGGACGCAGGCAAAGAATTATGCAGAAAGGAGTGATCCAAATTGTTCACTATAATCTGTACACACCTTCGTACTCAGATCGAGTCTGGCCTAAAAAAGCGTGTGTCTAAGTGAACATTATCTTATAAAAGATTAACAACAGAGCCTGCCTGTTTAGGTTTGTGCCTGACAAGACGCCAGTAAATTCAATTTGCAGAATAATATCCCCTTTGCTGATCTGTGATTTTCTGTCAAAAAGAACAAAGCAGTATTTAATGCTCTACTCGACACGGCAGCTACTTAATTAGTCACTTTTTCATGGTATGTGTCCGTAATTGTCATAGTTCTGCCACATGCCCCTGTGTACTTTGTTCTTGTCCAGCCCTCACACAAACATACATAAAATTGATCGAAGATAGGCGCCGAAAAAACGAGGACAAGGAGAGACGTAAACACTGCCGCCAGTGTTTACGTCTCTTCTTGTCCCTGTTCTTTCGGCGCCTATCTTCGATCATGAAACTGGTCCAAATTGCCACCTTAATGTAATATAATTGATGTTTATCACATAAAAGAGGCAACAGCATACTTCTATATATTTGAGAAGTTATGCATGTGTCAGGAACGGCTGTAGGACCGTTTGCCTAATGACAATTCGTCCCCCGTCAACTGGTAGCAGGGCTATTCGTCACATAGTGCACTATGACAATTCGTCAAAATGTTAACAGATATTTCTAATATCTTTTTCTGATGTTTATCGAGCATACCGTAAAATACCGCAGAAGCGCCCACTATTAACATCTCCCAAACTTGGGAATTCTGCAAAGCATACGTTAAGCACCCACTCTCTCCAAAGCGCCTGCATCAACTGAAAGTATTCACCCCAATGCAGCAGCCACAAGACCGGCAGTGGCTATGACGGAAATATCTGCTTTCTTGCGATCGAAAGGGAAAAACTACTTGTGATGGGAGCATTGACCCCTATTCTGCAATGACTCAGAAGTCAGAAGAGTCGTCTGTGTTCAGTGACAATGAATAGGAACTGCTTAATTTATTTTTACAGGATAAATGATGAGGGGGGTCCCCATCATCCATAATGTGAAAATAAATGTGCTCTCTCCGATTCCGTCACCCTCCGTACCTTCGAAGATCTCCATTGACATCCATCTTGGTTTTTACCGATTTGATTAGATTAACCGAGCTTTCAGTGAAAGTAGGGCGAACACTTCTTTGGTATACAGTAAAACCTCGTTATAACAAAATGGGATATAACAAACTAATGGATATAACAAAGCAATCATAATTCCCCTTGCTTGCTAATAGTATGGAGAAATGGACATTGGCTATAACAAACTAATGGTTATAACGAAATAACTACGACCGCTCCTTAAACTTTGTTATAACGAGGTTTTACTGTATTATCGTAGTTCTTCCAAGTGCATACAATTACCAGCAACTCCCTTTTTTATTTAATTACTTTCTTCTTGACACAAGAAATTAGACTTTTACTGATTTCTAATAGATGCTGAAAACTTACGTCTCGTCCACCACAATTTTGGCACATCTGTCACCAATGAAAAAAAAGGGATGGCAAACATTTCGGTCATGCACCTGTCTGTGTCACGCATGCGCTGAGAAAACGTGGAGGTGGATTACAGAGGAGACCAGAAAATTCTATATTCTATGCTTCCAAGGTGAAGTAAAATATCTATCATCTTAAAAGAAAACAAATGACTTAACTTTCTAGACAGGACGCTACACAGAAGCTGAATAACAAAACCGACCGAACGCTAAAAAGGCTAGTACGTGGGCAACAAGATCTTCAAACGTCATCTCCGGTTTTTGACATGTTGTCCCTGTGACGAATTGCCTTATGACGAATTGTCCTTTGTGACGAATTCCCCTGCTTAAGGTTACCTTTTTAACGAAATATCTTTCGACGAACGGCCCGCATCCAAGAATCAGGGACAAAGTTATTTAAATCAGCTTCAAAATCAGAAATTTGTTTAAGGCTCTCCCAAATCACTTATACACGTGCCTGTCAAGGATAAAAAAATGCTGGCAAAGATTTGTGGAACATCTTTCAGATATTTTGGGTGTTCATTTACGTATGATCTGTACCATTAAGGTTTATCGGGCCTATATTTCTGTTGTCAGGTCTTCAGTCAGTAATTAAATATAGGGTGAACACTCACCAGGCTTGGTCTAAAATAAACCGTAAAAATCGAAACCTGCACGTAGCAATCTAAACTTTTCGTCAAAGGTGTATTTCACACGTCGGTTTTTTTTTGTCAAATTAGAAAGCGTAGCTCCCTTTCTGTAAAAAAATAGGGCCAAGCAACTTGCCTGGGTGAACGGCGGGCGACAACGCGGACCGAGCTTTTAGACCAAGCCTGCCGACTTAGGTCACCCTATATTTTTTTATTATCATCAATAAGTTTCCTTATGAAGTTCACATAACGACTTGAGACCGACACGGGGGGGACGATATTCGAAAATATGCCGCTGTTGAGTAAGCGAAAACATGATTTTTCGTTTGCTGTTTGGAAGTGCCAAACCCTGGTTGCAGAGTATGCCATAAAAGACTGTGATCATAGGACAGATCTGAAGGGAAATACATGACATGTGCAGAAAGACGAGGATAATAAATTAAATTCTTCAAAAGAATCCAATACACAATGCTTACTGCAGAAAGAGAATATGTATTAGGATATTCCTATCGTGGGCCACGGCTTCACGAAATCCGGAGCAACTACCCGAAGTATGTTTCACATTAAAATGAAAACTCTGAATTTTGTAGACAATGAATTAAATCTCCAGAAACCTCTGGATTTCAGGTAGAAAAAAAACCCAGAACAACACACTCCAGTTTCACTCAGAAATAAACTTAAAAAATCTGAACCCTTGTTATGTCACATACTTGGTGCCAGAGGGCAAAAATAAACTTCAAGATGCTCCAAGCCCTTCTACCTCATTGTTGGGTCACAGGGCAATGCACTCAAGTGCCACTCATGATAGCATGGCACACTTGCCCCACTTTGAGCACCACGAATGCCAATGATGCTCGACAGAGGTGGCAAGCTCTGCCTTTTTCATCGCAATGGTCATCAGCCCAGTGGCTCCCTGGGTAACGTTTACCATTACCAGTTGACAGTGCCACCCTGTTTTCTCCAGTTTCAGAGAAAACCAGCCGGAAATGGGAGACGGGCTATTGGAAACCAACAAGACAGCATTGTGTGAAATTTAAATGTAAGGATTCTCAACTTAACAGCCTTCCTTGATATTGGGTGCATGGATAAACTGGGACAGAGGACTTCGATTCGAGCAAACCCTTGAGCCACTCTGCCTAAATTATAACTAAAGTTGGTTCGTGTTTAATTTTTTTTTTTTTTTTTCATCTTCCTAAGCCGTTTTTACCATTTCTCCAGCACTCTTAGTTCGCTTAATCTTTTGGAAACCACTTATTCCTTCTTCAACCCCTCTAATTCCAAAGCAACAAAAAAGACTGACTTACTCTCGGTATGTAGAAGACTCATACCTACAATGCTAGGCTGTAACCTTTGCCTGTCCCCATAGTGTACAGTCGGGAGCAAAAGTTTGCGGGGCACGGGAGCGCGTGCCGAAATGCATCGCCGCGCCGTCCGACGGCGCGCCGCCGCATTAAGGAGACGCGCTTTTCACATGCGCGTCTTTCGTGCCCGCAATCATGTCTTTTTCGCTCGTTTCTTTTTGACGCACTCCTGATAACAGGAGTCGGCGCCAGGGGCGCGAGTTAGCGCTTCGCTGGTTGTCATGCTGTGCGTCTGCCTCAGCCGCCTCAGCCACCGCGCTTTGTCATGGAGGTCGCGTAGGAGAAAGAGGGGGGGGGGGGGGGGGTAACCAGGCGCTCCGTCACCCAGCGCGGCTGCTGAGGCAGTTGGAAAGGACGCGAGGCATGACAGCCAGCGAAACGGCAACTTGCGCCCCTGGCGCCGACTCCGGTTATCGGGAGTGAGTCGGACAGAAACAAGCGAAAGAGACATGACTGCCAGCACGAAGGGCGCGCACGTGCAAAGCGTGGCTTTTTAATGCGGCGGAGCGCCGTTGCACGGCACGGCGATGCATTTCGGCACGCGCTCCCGTGCCCTGCAAACTTTTGCTCCCGACTGTACAATTCATATCTGTCTCCTCAGATCTTGATCTATAAGTTCCGGCTCTCAGTACCCGTCTTTGCCACACACAGCAAACTTATTTTTGAATTGTGAAAAAAGTTGAGTTTTCTTAATCCAAATGTTTCTGCATAGAAGGCTTCTTTTCCAATCTCAACTCTCTCATATCTCTTTCAGCTTCCTTCACTGCCCTTTTAACTTTGTCCTCTTCATTCTTTTCTGACATTAGCTCAGTACCTAGTAAACATCCTGCTTCCCGTCTTCTTTCTGCACACTCTTCAAGTATAGGAGCCCGACATTTAGCTTGCCCAAAGTCAATTCGCCGCTGACATTGACCTCTCCTCAAATTCAATTTCGCTGCTTGCCTCCCTCCCCTCAAAGAAAAACCGAATCACCCTGCACACCTTCATCTGGGCCTTTTGCTCTCCTGGTGGAGGATCTCCGAATTGGCACAGACTCCAAGGAGGCTGTGGACATCTGTACAAGACACACTGCTTTAGAATATGACCGCTTGTAGTCTAGACACCCTCACTGTCCTCTGTTTATAAAAGAGGTAAAAACAAACATAACTCACCGCGACTTGAGGACTGAATCGGTTCCATTCCAATCGCTGCCCAAGGTCAGGTTCGTAGGGAGTCTCGCAAGATCAAGAGGGACGCACGGGACCACTTGAGATGCTAGGAACCTGATGCAATGAGCAATGACAGTAATTAAGAACAAAGTGAGCACACAAGCTACTCAGACACCTATGAGAGTAATACACAAGAGACACCAAGTATTTGGTCATTTCCTGATAACTATGATGAATGGATGAGGAAAGGAAATGCCTCCGTGCCTAGTAATAGGTGGCAGCCGTTACCACCTGACGTTTGAAACACGGTCATCCAAAATCATGGTGGAAGAGTGCGACTAGTGGAACGATCGACATGATCCATACGCCAGGCCCCGAGGGTTGGGAGTCTGCCATCCAAGCGGTCACACACTGTCCGAGCAAAATAGAGTTGAGTGGCACATTTGTTCCTTTCATCTTTCTGCACGATCATGATCGAAACATCACGTGCACTCTATGTTCAACCATGAAGGGTTACTACATTTAACTCTTACGCGCTTAATAAAATGATTAAAACTGTTTCTCGCTACCACCGCTAGGGGATTCTTTTCGGCCTCTGGTTGGCCAAGAAAGCATGTCAAGCCCTCTTTCCGCATCTGGTGCACGCCCTGGCTCTGCCCGCGCCTCCCATTGAACAAACTCTCTCTATACACGGCTCTGGCGATGACTACTCCGCAGGTTTTGCTTCTCTGCAGTACACCAGTATGTGGTGAGAGTGCACTCGACAAGACTAACTAACCTTCCAGCAAAACAGACGACGAATATGAGAATAATTCCGGAACTTCCAAATACTGTTAGTCCTTCATACGAAATGCGATCGAATAGTACATTAGTTGAGACAATAATCAAAAGTTCTGAAAACTCGCATAACCATATCGCAACCGTCCGCCAGTGCAGCGCGGCCAGAGCTATTATATTTTGAGTATTATTTAAGTGAAATTAAGTTTAGGCGCAACGTTGGTGCAAATTCCTCACATTTTGGTAAAGCGTAGCAGGATGTAGCAGGGTAAGCACTTTTGCGAGGGTGGGCACAAATGGCACAGCAATCACATTACTGCATTAGATGTCCCTATATTAATGCTAAATTTGTTTGAAATTCGTTGAACCACAGGACCGTCAGATCCACCCATTCGGGAAAGCCGCCATGTTCCTCTTTCCAGAAAGTTTTGAGTCTTGCTCAACGTGGAACATGCACCAGGGAAAACTATTTTTTTACTATTTAAAATTTAAAATATTTGAATTAAACTTTCAGTTTATACTGCTTGAGAATCATGCATCAGTTTTGATAAAGGTTGTTCTTTATGCATTGGTTGCTTTGAACATGCGGAAAAAGCCAAGGTCTTGGACATATGTGGGGCAAGGCACAGAAATAAAAGAGCCTAGTAAAAAAACACTCATTTGTTCCTTTTAAACCACTGCATGTAATAAACAACAAAAATATTGTGTGCTAGACCTATTCGATTTTAAACTACTTGAAAACTTTGAAAACACCACTTTCAAAGGGATAACAAAGGTTTCTCAATGTTTTTATAAATATAAAATATATACATTCTATTCAAACCTAGAAAGTTGTAATCCATATATTCTAAAGCATATGCAGGCAAATTTGGTTGTATAGGAGAATATTAAAAACAAAAATTCTTGTTTGTAAAATGCCCTAAAATTAGAGAGAGAAAAATGTGTTTGAATGTTACAGTAGATGCATAGTGCCAATCTTCCACAAAGGAAAAAATAATTTATAATTTAATGCAAAAAATTGAAGCTACAGAAGACTGCAATGGAGCAGAGAAAACCATTTAAAGAACAGCGCACGCAAAAATGGCTGAAATTTATGCAGTCATGGGTTGCCAGTTTTTAAAGTACTTATTTGACTCATTTCGCTTAAAACCGATCCTTACTATTTTTTAATGAAATATAAATATTACAAAAATTAACACCATAAAACCCCAAAATCGGTTGTTTTGCAAAAGATTGCCATTATTCGACCCGCATCTCCCCTTAACACATTGAGCAATCCAGTGGCGTAGCCAGGATTATATTTCGGGAGGGGTTCAACGGCATTCCTTCCCCCCCTCCCTTCCCCCCCTCAATGACGCAGGGTGAGCTCGCCAACACGGACGCTCAGGCAGCGCTGTTAGATAAAACGGGTAAAGCTGCATTGTCATTTGTCAAAACAGAGCAGGCTTCATTTACAGGAATATGGGCGTGATGGCTCGATGTTCTACCATCGTCGTACTTGCGGTCCTCGCAGCACAAAACTCCCTCCGCTTTTTGAGGTAGCACTGCATTACCAACGCGTGAAGGCCAGACAAAACACAAGGATAGCTTTCAAAAAAAAATAAGCAGAAAAAAAAAATCTTGAAGCAGGAAAATTGGAACAACAGACCACGCACAAACACTAGGGGCCCAAATCTAGGGCAAAGGCAATTCTGAGCAATCACACAACCAAAATCTATTATAAGTTAAAGGTTTATTTGCTAGGCCGCTTTATCTTGTAGCGTGGTCCAAAGGCAGCAGCAGCATATCCTCGGAGTAAGAAGTCATCAGTCCGAACTCGTCGTTCCGTCACTCAGAGAAATGGCATGACGTAACACACAGAAACTACACGTCAAACGTGGAAAGGAACTTGACTACCTTTGCACCTATGCGTAGTGAGAATATGAAGGCTTGTCTCTTCGGAGTTTCTGATGTTCCGTGCAACGAAGAGATTAATCTCATAAGGAATTGCATGGGACTCCACCTCGACATACAATGCAGAAAGCAAGACGGACTTCGTCGCATCCGTGAGCGACGATTTTCGTAAAGTGAGGAAAAATTCACAAAAAATAGGGAAATTTTAGGCGTCCAATGCAAGAGGAAGAGACGTGAAGCGCCCGTCACGTCTGCAGTATATACGCGGTCGCCCTGTCCAAAGGCCCTATTTCAGAACGCCCATCGTCTCCTCACGATCCTAGAGACTCTGCCCTTAACAACAGCGGAACCTGAGTGCTCACTCTCTTCACTACGACGGTTGAAAACATAACTGGGAGCATCCACTTCGAATGAGCGACTGCTCGGTCTATACTTCGTTTCAGCTTAAGTCCAGACGCAGCCGATGCTACAAGGCCAGGCACGTAGCCAGGGGGGAGGCCCATGGGGCCTGGGTCCCCCCCGAAATCATCCATTTTGCTGGGACCTCCTCTCCCCCCTCCCCCTCGTACAGTATTTTGTCATGGGCGCCCCCCCCCCCCCCCCCCCCCCGAAAACAAAATTCTGGCTACATGCCTGCTACAAGCACGAGTATGTGGCCCTGAACAGTGCTTGCACCGCACGAACGCGCGTGCTTGCCAGGGACGCTGAAAGCCCGGAGCTCGCGCTTTTAGCATCGGCTGCGTCTGGACCTAAGCTGAAACGCATTAAGTATAGCGCTTTTGAATGTTCACCACGACATTAAACTTCAAGCGGAGGACGTCCTGGATATTTTTTTCCGTGAACGCAGGCGGCTGCATTTTAATGTTTGGGTACTTGGAAAGCAATTTACAGAGAAGCTGTAAATTGCTTACTAATACAACTAGTCACAGTTGCCTTTTTATTCGCTGCAATTTCTATTTGAAAGCATGTAATTCTGATCACCAAATGTGCACATGAGCGCAGCGCCACCCGTTGCTTACAGTGCAATGTTTTTTTACAATTGATTTATTATTCCTTACATCACTGACATTGTTTTATATTATCACCGTGGGTTCGTTTTATTATGTTCACTTTGGGTTTGATTGAACTGTGTATTTCAGTGAAAAATAGTTTGTTATACTTTGCCTTGAAATTACCACCCTTCACACCACAAATGTTTCAAAATAGCCGTTCTCTATCTATCTGAGATCAGGTTCCGCATCCCATTGAACAAACATGAATTAAGCAATAATGCATATTTTATTAATTTGAACATTTTCTGCCCCACAAACAATTTTCCCAAAAGCAAACAAGTTGGAGATGGTCCGCGCTCCCCCGTTGCTCCGTGCCTCGCGCAAAACTGACTGCGTGAGCAGGAAGGCGAGCGGGCCCTGCGGGGAGGGGGGGGGGGTAGCTTTGGCATTTCGGAGGCGGTTTCGACCCCCCGAACCCCCCCTCTGCCTACGCCCCAGGAGCAATCATATATAGTTTGCACTGGAGCAATATATACTTTGGAAGATGCAACACTGCCATCATTGCACCAGGTCTGATGCAAGCAGGAGGGAACATGTTACAGTGCATTCATACATGTAAAATGTATGATCCAAGCTTCATCGACGAGTGTTCAACATTTTTGAACCTGAAATGAAAACCAGGCAAACCCTCATCACTGCAGCTTATAATCGTATTAACAGTGTCTCCCCGAAAGAATCTACGCTCTTCTCTTTCACCACAGAAAAAAATGATGCATTGCCGAGCACCCTGTCTCTGCCTAAATAGCTCTAGTGGTTCGAAACAGATGCCAGGGTTTCAGAACTCTTATCTTATTAAAAAGTTATGTTATATAGACGAAAAAACAGGACCCATTCTCGGTTATCGCCGTCATTCAGCTCCATGTTTTCCGTCACTTTCCCATTGAAAACTTCAGAAGATCACATGCAACTTTTTAGTTAGATAACAGTTGGTTCTGAAACTTTAAAATCTGGTTTGGAACACTAGCACTACATTCGCGAGGACATCGAGCGCTCGCCAATGTATAGCTTAGCTTAATTTTGAAGTAAAAAAAGCCCATAAATTGTTTCAGGGCTTCCATATGACGTCGCTGCACCATGCCGGTGGTCACTCCACACTTGTTCTTGCAGGAAACAATGAATTTGGTGGTGCGAAAGGAATATTGCAGAAGGTTGTACCCTGAGCAGCAAGGCCATC